CAAACTTACACAGGAACCCCTTTTTTTCTGCTATTTGTATTTTGCCCATTTGTATGTCACAGTATTTTATTTTGGTTTATTTTGCTTTCCTCTCCTTTCAAAGATAATCTTTGTGTTCCTGAAAGTGAAGACTCAAAGCCCTTGCTAAAGTCAGGTCTGGGACTAGGTAGATACTAGTTAAGCACATGCTGTCCAGATCTTCCAATGTATTTCAACCTTCTTTTGTAAAACAGAATTGTTCCATTATTGGGGTTTTTCAAAGTAGTTGTTGTGACGAGTTGGATCACAGAACCCCTCTTGGGAGCTGCCACCTGATGTGCCAAGACTACTTCTGCCCCTGCTTTCCCGAGCTCGGGTTGGATCACAGAACCCATCTTGGGAGCTGCCATCTGATGTGCCAAAACTACTTCTGCCCCTGTTTTCCCTGCCAGCTCGGACCTCCAGCACCCTGCTCCAACACAGACCCAGGGTCTGAATTGCCCCAAAGCTGCTGACTTAACTGAAAGCAGCTTACAGAATTGTTCTTGTTTTTAACACTCAGATGCCCAACTTCCAGTGGGGTTTAAACCCAAATAAATCTGTTTTACCCTGTATAAAGCTTATACAGGGTAAACTCATAAATTGTTCGCCCTCTATAACACTGATAGAGAGATATGCACAGCTGTTTGCCCACCCAGGTATTAACACATACTTTGAGTTAATAAGTAAAAAGTGATTTTATTAAATACAGAAAGTAGGATATAAGTGGTTCTAAGTAGTAACAGACAGAACAAAGTTGAATTACCAAGCAAAATAAAATAAAACACACAAATCTAAGCCTAATACAGTAATACAATTGAGTAAAGATAATATTTCACCCTGAAAGATGTTTTAATAGGCTTCTTTCACAGACTGGATGCCTTTCTAGTCTGGGCACAGTCCTTTCCCCTGGTACAGCCCTTGTTCCAGCTTAGGTGGTAGCTAAGGGATTTCTCATGATGGCTCCACCTTTTCTCTGTTTTACCCATTTATATATCTTTTGCATAAGGTGGGAATCCTTTGTCCCTCTGGGTTCTAATCTGCCCCCTTACCCCCGGCCTACTCAATGGAAAAGCACTAGGTTAGATTCCAGTTCAGGTGACATGATCACATGTCACTGTAAGACTTCATTACCCCTTGCCAGCACACACGTATACAGGAAGACTTACAGGTAAAACAGAGCCATCTGCAGTTAATTGTCCTGGTTAATGGAAGTCGTCAAGATTTCAAACCACCATTAATGGCCCACACTTTGCATAATTACAATAGGCCCTCAGAGTTATATTTCATATTTCTAGTTTTAGATACAAGAGTGATACATTTATGCAAATAGGATGATCACACTCAGTAGATTATAAGCTTTGTAATGATACCTTACAAGAAACCTTTTGTATGAAGCATATTCCAGTTACATTAGCATATTTTCATAAAATCATATAAAGTGCAACATCACAGTTGTGTCTTACATTGCAGGTGATTTGTATAGCAGAATTGTGATATAAATAAATATTCACTATTATTTGATTTACACCATCTAATCTAAGACAGATGCATAGATCAAGCTGCTAGAGGTGACTCGCTGCGTCATTTAACTTACAGTTACACTCGGTGAAAGCCCAGGCTGTCACATGGGTGTAATTCATAAAATATAAAAAAGTGGAAAATGGCTGAGAACTTAAAAATTGGATGGTAACTGATCACGAATCCTAGTGATGATTGTACATGGTGATATTCTAAACAAAAAGAGTTCTCAGCCATGCTTGTAGCTGTTTCCATGACACACACACACACACACTCACACACCATGCCCCCTGCCCTCCGACAGTCTATGCTTCAGAGTGACAGTCCTGGAATCTGATTATATAGCTTACTGAGATTGCTTCGGTTTTACATTGAAAATCAAATCATTTGGAGCTAGATTGTAACTTGGACAATGTACCCATGCAAAGGAGTAAGAGCCACACACCTCTTTCCCCAGTGGGAAAATGTCTCCTGAGACATTGGGTCTGGGAGCACAGGAGTAAGTGAAGCTACTCCCCTTACTTCTTCCCTGGGGCCTCTACTCTCCTCGCTCAGAATAATTGAGCTGGGGTAATAATTTGCTGCTGCTACAGGCCAGCAGTAAATGACTACACTCCCAAGAGCCAAGAGGAAGCAGGGGAGGAACTGTGATTCAGAAACTTATCTCTGAGTCACACAGCCTCCCCGGGTTATTCCTTGGGTGCGGCAGTTTATGTGCCACTCCGTGCTCTGGGCTGTGTCTAAAAACACAATCTAGTCTTCTATCATTATGGAAAAATAAAGCTTAACTAGCTTCTACTGTACCTTGGCCATGATCAGGGATGATCTTACAACGCTAACCAAAGCTGGACCAGGTCAGCACTTGGATAGGAGACTGCCAAGGAAGATCACTATAGTGTGGTGGACAGTGGCATGGCCGCTCAGCCATGATGCTGCAGTCATGAGCTCCCTGACCAAGCCACTGGGCCACTGTGGATCTTGGCAATAGCCCTGAGAGCTACCTGCTGTGAGAACAGACTAGGGCTCAGTCAGACATGCCCATATTTTTACAGTGGAGTAGACGGACTGCCGCTTCCTCTGCTGTTTCTTTATTCTCAATTTGTTCCACAGGTCCCTGTTGCCAGTGGATAATCTTTTCATGATTTATCAGTCAGCTCTGGTGCTGCGGGCCAGGTGAACTGGTCAGTCACCTTGCCATTTCAGTGGCTGTCAGCACAGGCGCCGACTTCCCAAAGTGCCGGGGTGTGCTCAACTCCCAGCTCTGCCCCAGGCCCTGCCCCCACTCCACCCCTTCCCCCGAGGCCCCACCCCAGCCTTGCCTCTTCCTGCCCTCGCTCCATCCCCTTCCCACCCAGTTTCGTGGCCAGCCCCCTCAAGCATGCTGTGTCCTCACTCCTCCCCCTTCCTTCCAGCCTCCTGCCCGCCGCAAAACAGCTGTTTGTGGCATGCTGAAGGTGTGGGGAGGGAGGGTGGCTCTGATCCATGGGGCCTGCCGGCAGGCGGGAGACACTGGGGGGGATGGGAGAGAGCTCATAGGGTGCTGCCGATGGGTGCTCAGCACCCACCATTTTCTCCCCGTGGGTGAAAGCAGACTAATTAGAACAACCTCCAGGCTGCTGTCATTTACAAGGGGCCAGGCAGGCTTTTTAGTGATCCAGAATATGAGGATTTTAAAGCGACCTTAATATGACCACCCCTGTGCGAATAGCTAAGAATCAGGCCCTCAGACTCTATGTCTGAGAAAAAGCACATGGCTATGTAGGCCTGGAGCAACTCCAGGGTCATCCTGGGGTTGTCAGGATGTGACCAGCGCTCCCTAGCTACAGAGCTGTGGCTGTTCTTGGCATTGCTAAACATCAAAGTCAGGATTTGGCCTCTCATTTACAAAGCACTTTGGACTGAGGATATTATTGTTCTCCCCTGACAGTATGCACACCACTACTAACTATCAAAATAACTGTTCGTTGGAGGCTTGAGAGCTGGATTATCTTTGTTATTAGACTCCTCTATCAATGTTTTCATCCACCGAGTACAGATTTACAGAGCTTGACCTTTCTCCTGTGCACTGAATTTAAATACACCACAGACCATAGAGTCTGGACGGGCTTTTAACTTCAGAGGTTGGTGCAAGGGAAGGGAAGCACCTGCCAACATCAAAGATTCACTGACTGTGATGAGAATGGGTCAGGACAGACAGTTACTCACCTTCTATCCATCCCTTTAAACAGGCCTCCTTTGGGGCACTAGAAGTCTTGTTCCTATTAAAGTTCAGAGTTAGTTCAGTATTTTAGGAATAAAAGGAAAAAAAGTCAACTTTTTATGGTATCTCCAAATTATTCTCTATTGCCACTTCTTCTCCTTCAATGCTTAGCCAGATAGTCGGCTGTAGCAATCGTCTGCCATTTGGTCTGCTTTGGTGCAGCCGCAAGGGCTTGATGAGGCCAAGAGTCCAACATCGGAACAAACTTCATGCACCCATGTACCATTGCCATTGGTCAGGCTTTTATAGATACATTTTTCCCATAGGTTACATTTTTGATAATTTTGGCAGTGGATAAGGGCTAAATCCTAGAGGATGCTATAAAGTGCTCAGTTCCTTTAGATCCTTGGGATTTCATTGGGAGTTAATGGTGCTTCCCTTGTGGGAACTGGAGATGAGTTACTAAGTAATCATTTGGAAACAGATGGGAACAAATGAATTTTCAGTGTGTTTCAATCTGGCCTGCGTGCATTTGTATAAGCAGCTGATTTTGCCTGCAAAAGTAGGCAAACTAATTTTTGCCTGCAAAAGCATAAACTATATATAAAGGGATTATAATCTTCATATTGTGTAAGTAGCAATGACAAGAATACTGAAAATGAACAATTATATTTTATCAATGTGTATGGGCGTATTTCAGAAGCCAAAATCCCTAAGTGCTATCAGGAGCACCGCCAGCTTTTCTGCCGCCCTAGGCGGCGGAAGGTCCCGTCCCGAAATGCCGCTCCCCACAGAAGTGGCGGGAGATCCTGCCGCCGAAATACCACCGCGGTCGCCGCCCCCCAAATTGGTGGTCGCCTAATGGGTTGCGCCGGCCCTGAGTGCTATTAGGCAGCATGGAGTGCAGGCTGAAATTTGTTAATTTCAGCTTAAGGTGTCATGTGATACCATTTTTATATATATATATAATGAAGGTCTCACTTAGGTATATAATGTTCAAAATAACGTGACTATTTGTGGTAATATACTCTGCACAAGTATCGACACTTCAGAGTCTAATAGTGTTGATAGCATTCTGTTTCCGTCAGGAATATGCATTTGTTTTTAATAAAGCAAGGTACTTTGGATTAGATTATTGAAAGGGTCCTCAATGGGGCTTCCCAACCAGGATTTAGAGATGCAAGTTTTATATATAAATTCACTAACAAAAATTTTTCTAATGCTGAGTTAAGGTTGTCTTTGATATCTTGTGCCATTCCAGAACATCAAGTACAGCTGTGATGTATACAAACCCCACACTGGACCACCACACCTGCAAGACGTGGACAGCCTGGAGGAGGAGTTAAAAAGGAAGCAGAACAGCTCACTTGTGGGCAGACCAGTGAAGGTAACTGATCTTCAACCCTCAGATCTTGAGGAACAGGATGACTGAAGGTAGGAACTATTCCAACAGCAATGGCCTGAAGGCCCTCCGTGGAGAGAAGGGAGGGCCTGATTCTGATACACCCTGGGAGGGAAGCGTTCCCCCTCTCTCTCTCACTAACTCAGTTTCTTTGTGTTAATTCCCCTTGCTTTGTCCCCAGAAGGGGAGAGACTTTGAAGGGACCTGGCCAGAGGGCCAAATCACCGGAAGACGCAGGCCACTGCAGAGGCAGAATAGCCAGCAGCAGCAGCCCCAGTGGAGAGCGAGCTGCCACACCAGGCCCGGCCACAAGGAGGCGCCAGCGGTGAGTCAACCCCTTCACAAGCAAAACTCAACCCCCTGAGAAGCAGAACATCAAGAGTTAAGGTAATTCAAACTTAAATATCTGAAAACCAGGAAATACAGAGTTAAGGTACATGCCAACATACTGGGTAACAGGGACAGGGAGGAATGTGCATCTCTAGTATAGAGCTCTGTTTTTATTCCAATACTTGTATGTATGCAACTACATGCTGAAAATAATAACTCTATCTTAGGACCGTCCAGTCACTTGGCTTTCTTTGTACCCCCACTGGCCTTCTCCAGCCTCCTATGGCACTGTTTAGGGAAGGACATGGCACTCTGCAACATTCCTGAGACCTTGTACTTAAGCAGTTACCAGCCTATTTCTAATTCTGTGTTCCTAGAGTGCAGTTTCTCCCAAAAGCACCAGTCAGTGACTGTCCCTAATAATATTGAAGATCCAATGCAAGTTGGCTTAAAATGAAAGTACAGACTATAAAAACAGAGAGAAAGCATACAATAAAAGTGGGTTAAAAAATTAACATGGCTGGCTGAATACTATGAAAACCATTACCGCTGGGTTCTAAGTTTAGTTGCAAAGTATTATTTAAAGCTGCTGACAATCTTACATGGCAGATTAAAGTCTTTCTCCTAGAGGACTACGTCTGTCTGTTCCCTCTTGCCTATCCACTACAAGTTCTGCTACCTGTCTGACATGGCCCCAATTAGAGATGGGCCTGAACTGAAATTCCAGATTCAAACATCATTGAACTCTGGTGACATTTGGATCCAGTTCGAAATGTTGCCCGTCAGACCCATCTCTACTCCAAAAAGTTAGAAGTGTGTGAGTGTGGGAGAGAGCCTGAATTAGCAACAACCCAAATCCATCCTTCCTTTGTAGGCATTGACTTTCTTTGTATTCTTCAAAACACATGGGGCCTGACTCTCCATTGCCTGGTACCTTGTCAGTGTAAAATGGTACCAGTTCAGAATAATAGTGTTTTACATCCATTTTGCACTAATGTAAACATCTATACAAGGTGCAGGACAATGGAGGCTCAGACCTTCATAACTGACAATAGTTCAAACATCTCATCATCTTTCGAAATCAGACCAGAAAGGTAAAACCTGCTTGAATCTAGTTTGGGTGACCCCAGTACTGAATGTATAGTCATTACTCCTTTGTTTAATGGAATGACCCTCCTTAAACATGTCTAATTCACATTTGGATAGATTCCTTACTTATGAGATCTGAAGCTTACGGACAAGTACTATGAGAACAGGCTGTTCAGAATACAAAGTTACCCATACGAGTGACAGGTAACTGTCACATACCTGCCGAATGTTTGCATATCAGCAGTTGGAGTTCACTTTTTTTTATGCTGGTTGAGCATGAGGATTTTGAAGTTTTAAGAGCCTCCCTACCTCTCTACTCGCTGACAGTAACTAAAACTCAGCAGCAGTCTCTGAAAAGTAGTAAAGATGATCCAGAACTAAAAAATGTTAACACAACTCAGATATTTCAAAAACTAAACTCAACTGGTATTTTAAAATCCGAGTTCAGTGTTCTCTACTCTGTGTAATAATCATTTACATTTTTATAATACCTTTCAGCTGAGAGTTACAAACCATTTATTAATGAAGCCTAACAACTCTTTCTTGTGAGTTAAGCAAGTATTAGCCCCATTTTAATGATGGGTAAATTGTGGAACATAGAGATCAAATGACTTGGCCAACATTACACACTGAGAAACCTAAAGAAAACTCCTGTTTCAAGGACTACTGCTAAGAGTTCGCAACTTATCCCAGGACAATGATTTCAGGGAAATCTTTGTCTATTGACATACAGAAAAATAAATTCTAAATGTTTTATAAATGATTATTCCTGACGACAATGCTCATTCCTATTACAGAATCAGATGGCCTGAAAGTATATCATTTTTTTAAGGTAGCGGGGTGGAGAGATGACCTTCTCCTCCCTCTCTTCCCCTGTCCTTGACATCCATCTTTCTAGCTAGGGAGGGCTGGAGGCTGTAGCCATAACCTTTTGAACCTGTCAAAATGTATTTTTCCACAACTCTACAAGTATCAAATGTGTACATATTTCTGGGGACCCAGAAGATCCTGGTCTTGCAATTGGATCCACATAGGCAGACCATATTCCCATATGGACTCTGGATAGGCACTGGGGACTGCCTGCATGGCTCTGATTCCAGATAGAGACCTTAGTCATTAGTTCCAATCCAGCACTGGTTGGTAGTCACTGAAAATCGTTACCATTGGTCACCTATATGATGGTCTCCATTCCTACCAGACAAGCGTCCGCATCACAATTGATTCCTTGTTTGCGGTCTAGAGAGAGGCCAAAAACTAAATGAGATGCGTCAGTAACCTTACGCTGCTGGAACACAGCAGATATATGTTTTTACCCGATATCGGGTATCAGTGGGATATGGTCTGTAGAGCTTTGATGTACATCAAAGCTAATTGTGCTACATTAGAAAAATGGCTACATCAGGGAAATGCAAGAAATCTTCCTCACAGCTTAGACAAGAAAGCATGGACAATAGGACATGTATGAAATGTGTGAAAATCCATGTTAGAGCTGAATGGACTACTCTTATCAGACAAAATAAAAGCTCCTTAGAAGGCTAAGGAAATAGCAATTAGCAATAGGAAATAGCAATGAGTTTAAAGAAAACAACAACCATGAATTTTAGAGGTCATCAGCATCCTCCAACACACATAGTCTACTGAGGACCGCTGCACCAGTCAGAGTGACCAAGGTCACACCAGGTATCATGTAGTGAAGTTCCCAGATCTGGCTCAATTCTGTGAATGCACAAATCTCTGGGATGGCCCCAGGGGCAGTGCCAGGAAAGATAAGAGTGGGATCCCTTCATGTATCAGTAGAGAGTTTGAGAGCATGGTGTGCTGGGGTGTATTTGTCCCATCTTGGCGACATGGCTGAAGAGGGGGCAATACTGCTTTTAAATATAACGAGCAATTGAAGGAAGGCCAGATCCCTGCAAGATAAAGACATTAGCTGCTGTGTGTTTCACTTAACCACTTTATCTTCTGTAAAATGAGGATAGTAACAATCAATTTTATGAAGTATGATGAGTTTTTTAGATAAGATGCTATATATGTGTGAAGTATTTTTATTATTATTATTTAGCTCAATGAAATGAAACCAGAACAAAGTCAGCAGGACAAGACAGAGGGTCAATAGGAGTTAGTACACTAGGTAGGAGGAGTTTGACTGCATAGGCATATAGTTGGGGTTCAAATGGGAAACATTTAATGGGGGATTACATTTTCCTTTCTACGTTCTTCCTATATATTACACATTGTTTTATTTTAAGAAGAGAACAGAGCTTTTGTGTTCCCTGTCAATTAAATCCCTGGGATTGATATACTAGCTACTTGACGCAGCCCTTTTTGATTTGCTCTCTGCTAAAAATGAAAAGATAGTAATAACTGGCAAGGGGAATGTATGTCTAAAGAGAAATGTCAAATTACAGCTCATAGCTATTAGATCATAGGCTTGGCAATAGCCCATTCTGGTTACTCCAACAGAGGTGTCTCTTTATAGGAAAACTTTTATAACAATAATAAGCATGCCTATGTTTTTTTTTCAAGTGAGATTTTCAGAGCAATCTTAGAGGGGTTATACATATCTTCCTTTAAAATTAATGGAAGCTGTGTCTAAATCCCCTAAGATTGCTTTGAAAAATCTCAACCTTCTTCTAAGCAGTATCAAGGTTTATTGCCCCCAGTAATCTGTTAATCTTCCAGGTCCTCAAAATCTTAAAATTCGATTGACTGATATATTTATACACACGTACAATCCTAATATTGATACTGGGGTCCCTGTTACAATCAGAACGGCCAAGCTGCATAACCTTGCTACCTTATAAAGCACCAGAAGAGTATGAAGTTCCAAAATTGGTACATATTTGTTGTCCTTTTTGTCATCTAATGCTACAATACTATTAATGCTGGGACTCCTTGATGAAATCTATCTCTTTTGGCAAGCTGCCTCAGTCCTCTCACTTAACTAATGTACGTCATCGGCCTTTTCTGAAATTGGATTAAAGCTGCATCTTCGATGCAATAACTCTGAAGCAGGCATCAGAATCCCAAGTGCTCAAGATGAGTTCATTTTCACTCACCTCTGGTAGGCTCTGAAAAACTACAGTTTGGTTTAGTTGTAGCAGCATCTACTAACTGAACCTTCAGTGCTAATCTGAAAATGGGTTAGAACCATGGGTACCAAGACAGCATACTGTATATTATTTTAATATTAAAACTGCCCACAGCTACTAATAAGGACAACTTCCCTAGCTTGTTTTCAAAGGGGGCGGGGAAGGGTTTACAAACTGAAGAGTGCTAAGAGATATGTTGTTGGTGGTGTATATGTGTATACAGTATAATCATTTTATACACACACACACACACACAAATTATTATACATATACACATATGCACTACGTATGTAGTGTTGATATCCACGTAATAAATGAATGTATCACTCTTTAACCACATCACCTGCCCTCTGCCCACTAGTGCATTTTTCCAGAACATATTATCACATTCCAGACATCTGAAGAGCTCCAAACAACTTCCAGAGAAATGTTTCCTCCATCTCTACCCAAATGTGGGAATTTCCCCCAAAAATTACCCGGTCTGTGGCCTGTTTTCAGCAAGCTTCAGTCCTGGGACCGCAACAGTTGTGTCTGAAAGTCGGAGACCAGGTCTACACTAGAGGCCTTTGTCAGTCAGGGGTGTCATGAGGTGTGATTTGTGACAGTTGCTGTGCTGGCAAAAGCCCCTAGTGTAGATGTCATTATAGTGAAAAAAATGTGCTTTTGCCAGTATTGTTTATTTCGCTTGCAGGGACTGGAATAACCTATACTAGCAAAAGTACATTTTGCTGATATAAGATGCATCCACAGTAGGAGTGCTTTTCCAATATAGTACACTGGTATAGCTATGCCAGCAAAGCTTTCCGAGTGAAGACCTGGCCTAAGTCACCTCGCTTTTTGATATGGGGTTAGTGTTCTGTGTTCAGTAATGGGAAGAAGCAAGATATAGGTTAGGAAAGGCAAAAAAGTGCTGTGGTGGTGGGAGACCCATAAGGTTATTTAGCTGTGGGTTGAGATGGATGTGTTAATTAGTTACATAGATGGAGTGAAGTGGCACTAAATTGAAGATTGATCTTTATATTGTGGGTGAAGGTTGGACAGAAGTGACTCATAGACTTTAAGGTCAGAAGGGACCATTATGATCATCTGGTCTGACCCCCTGCATGCTGCAGGCCACAAAGCCGTCCCTACCCCTTCCCTTGACTCTGCTGTTGAAGTCCCCAAATCCTGTGGCTTAGTGACTTCAATTGGCAGAGAACCCCCCTGCTAGCAATCCCTGCCCCATGCTGCGGAGGAAGGCGAAAAACCTCCAGGGCCTCTTGGTTATTGGTGGTGGGTTTTGGTTAGACTGGATTTTGTGATCTGCCCTGGTGGTTCTTATTTGCAGTAGCCCAATCTATAGATTATGTATTAATTATATTGATTACTAAAGAATTCCCAGTTATCACTTTGAGGATTGACAAATTCTTGTCCCAAGCTCAAACCCAGTATTGTTAAAATTACTATATTTTTGGGAACTCCAGTGTGCACGGCTGCTGCACTCACACTATAGAAATGCTTCTACATTTACAATAGTTTATTAATACATTTAGCAAAGTCACAAACACTCCAACTTAATAAGGTAGATAGGGGTAATACAGAAAGTATTTCTGAACATCCATACTCACACCATCTCTTGCAGAACAACCAGAAATGTTAGCCATTATCTTCCTCATCACCATTACTTTCCTCCTCACCCCAAGTGGCCATCATTCTGGCACCTCTCAAAGGCTACATCTCTCCCTCTTACTGCCCACAGGCTGGGATGCAACTTTTATAGTATGTTACACTGACGCCACTATGTCTAATGCATATTCAGTAGGGGTTTCTCCCCTCTTCCTCATTTGTATTTCCTCACCCTCCTAATGTTGAGGTGCCCGTCTCCTACAGGTTAGTATATTAATGCTCTCAAATTATTATCACATTCATTGCCATGGCACTCTTGTGGTTGGATGGTCTTTCAAAAACTTTCCAAAAGCTCATGTTTCTGTGATTTTCTGATGTCAGGATATGGGCCTGTAGGTTCCTTGCATTACTGCTGAATATAATAAAGACAGAATATAATGAAGGCAAGGCAGTGAATATAATAAAGGCAAGCTAGCCTTATGGGCTACATGCATACCCTGCTGCAGCAACTCTGGCCCTTGATGACCCCTGTACGGTGTCAACGAAAGTTGAACAACACTGAAACATGCTGGGGATATGGAGTATCCAGACAGCAGTGGTTGTAAGAGTTCAGGGCCCTTGATCCTGTGGTGAGGGCAGAGGCAGATAGATAAAGTAAATAATATTAAATAAAGTATAAGGTTGTCTCCTGCAAGGAATCACAGGAGCCTATATTCTCACTGTGAAAGAACAGCATATGTCTTTATCAGATTGTGAACTCCATTTTGTTAAACAGGCATGTAGACGTGCCTGAGGGCAGCCTATTGTAATGCATTCCAGACAGCTGCCCTACCTGGGAAAGGTGTTTGACCCCTCTTTGAAGGACTATTCCTGTGTATACAGCAAAAAGTTTTACAGTTGGGCATCTTTACAAATATAAAAGGATTTGTTTATAAAGTGAGAATTTTCCCAACTTCTATGCACTAGGGATAGCAAGAACCACCCATTTCCTGTACTATGAGATAATTTCCCATGGTATCAGTATTCTGCAAAACAACAAAAAGATGTTGAAGCTAATTACAAAAGTATTTCGGACCATCCCTGACCAGTAGATTTAAAACACTTGAACCTTGTATAGCCTTTCACCCTTAGCTGTAGCATCGAAATGCACACTATTGATTGGAGAGAGTAATTGTGTTTTCCTTAGCACCCATGATGTTTGAGGTGTATTCCAAACATAAAAGAACTCAAATATAAATGTTAAAAAAATAGTTGATACATTGTATGGCTGAAAATCCCCCTCTACAGTTCAAGCCTAATTCCAGACACAGTGATAGTCTCAAACAAGTCTTTACAAGCAATCATTTGGTTATAGTTAGGGCTCTGTTTGTCCAACCTTTTGTATGTTCATGTGTTATGTTATTTATACTCAGGGCCTGATTCTGGTCTCACACTGGTGCAAATCAGGAGTAAGTATTGAAGGTAGTGGAGTTATATCATTATAAATCAAGCATAAGGGAGATCGGTCTCAGGCCCACATACATGAAAAGAAGTCAGTTGACTTTGGAGACTTGTGAGGCTGCTAGAATTTTATAGATTTCTAGATTTTAAGGCTAGAACAGACCATCACAATTACATAGTCTGACCTCCTGCCTAACACAGGCTATAGCATTTCATCCAGTAATTCCTGCCTCAAGCCCAGTTGGTTGAGCTAGAGCATATTTCTCTTTACAACTGTCTGCCTCAAAATTTCTTCTGAAATTCAGAAATTGTTCTAAGAATTGCATCTCTGAGTCATTCTGTTCATGTTAATCTTGAGCTCTGGGGGATCAAATAAAATGAGAAAACAGCTGAATAAGGGGAAATATTGATCCCTTAAAAGAGAGAGAGTTTTGATCTGTGTGGGAGTTTAGTGCATAGGACCAGATTTTCAAAGGTATTTAGGTGCCTCAAGATGAAGATAGGTACCTAGTGGGATTTTCAAAAGCACCAAGGCACCTAATTTCCATTGAAATCAATGGGAGTTAGATACTAGGTACTTCTGAAAATCCTACAGGGTGCCTATCTGCACATTTAGGCACCTAAATACCTTTGAAAATCTGGCCTGTAGGCCTGATTCAGCAAGGATCTCTGAATGGGAAGACTCCTGCACCTGAATGCAACTGATTGCAGGATTGGGGCTTGAGTGGGTGAGGCTAAAGTGTTCAAAGAAACCTAAAGGAGCTGATGACAAATTACTTATCAGTTGCAAATAGGTGCGTTCCTGAATGGATAATTCCAGAAAAATTGCAGATGTAAGTACAGATTCTGCACTATGAGTAGCTGAGAAGAGGCAATAGTGGCTGGTGATTGGCTTATAAACCAACTGTGGGCCTGTTTCTCCACTGCTCTGTGTAATCACTGACATCTCTGCAAAGCAGATGTATCAGAATGGTAGTTTTCTACACCCACTTTGCATAGATGTGGTGTAATGCAGCAGAGAATTAGGTCTTTTGCTTGGAAGCTCTGTGTGGGTTAAGGAGAGAAGCTGGAGGTTTGTGGGTGATTGGAGAAGACAGAGATGAAAGATGCTTAAGTATTATTGATTATGTAATTCTTTATCTGAACAAACTTTTATTTGTGTTAGGGGTCAGAGTCTGATAGCCTGACTCCTGTTGAGTACAGCCTTACTCCATTCACTTCAAAGGGACTATTTGCAAAGTAAAGTACTGCTCACTGTTTGTAAGGCGATAAAATCTATCCCTGCTCCATGATTTTTCCAGGGAC